TACATGCAATACATACATACATACATACATACATGCAATACATACATACATACATGCAATACATACATACATACATACATACATGCAATACATACATGCATGCAATACATACATACATACATACATACATACATACATACATACATACATACATACATACATACATACATACATACATACATACATACATACATACATGCATGCAATACATACACAAAACACACACATTAACAATACATACACAAAACACACACTTTAACAATACATACACAAAACACACACTTTAACAATACATACACAAAACACACACATGTACAACATATACACAAAACACACACATGTACAACATATACACAAAACACACACATGTACAACATATACACATAGACACACACTTGTACAACATATACACATAGACACAATACATGAACAGATACACACTCGGACACACAGACACAACATACAACGTTACAACATACATATGAATTCACGCACTCACAGTCAAAACACATACACTCAACATATAAATAGACACGGAGACACAAAGCAAGCACAGACACAACATATACACAGTCACACAATAACATAGACACAGACACAGAGTAAACACAAATATACATACAGACAGAACACACACATACACAAAACTCACAGACACAACAGATAGACAGACATACAAAAAGACAGACACGAAAACGACGAACGAACAATCTAGCCTAATGTTTTCAATAATCTAAATATTGTGCTCACATATATCTACTGCAGGAGTGCTACTGTGCTGGTCCCGATGTTAACTGTAATTATCGAAGATTGCAAGCGATACCAGTTTTGCTTGTGGAAAATAACACATTTTTCCAATCTGTGTTTCTAGACGTAAGTTATTGTTTCCTGGTTTTCCATATCAATGGATGTTACCTGATCATGTAGCATATCGCATACATACACACACACATATATATATATATATATATATATATATATATATATATATATATATATATATATATATATATATATATATATATATATCACATAAATAATCAAACGGGGAACTCGAGAGGCAGTATAACATTATATATAAATATGTATATATGTATATATATATATATATATATATATATATATATATATATATATATATATATATATATATATACATACACACATATACGTACACTTCGATACGGAAGTTGAAACATAGAAGGACACACTAGACAACAAAAGAAATGAAAGAAGTACTTACTATTCCAGGAATCGAACCTGTCACCGCCTAAATGACAAAAGAATCAAGTGCACTGATTCCTCCCACAGTGGATCTACTTGTGGAATTCTAAAGAAACAAGTAACGACATCTTAACATAACATAGTGCAGAAGTGTCTTGGGGGTAGTGGATGTTAGAATGACACATACAATACACACACAAAGTGAAGGACACTAGTCCACGTCTGCAGCCGTATTGGGCATATAGGGCTAGACCTATATTTCATAGACCAATCGGCCCTTGGTGGTTGACGTGGTCAGCATCATACCGGCTGTCTTTACCTCCCACGACTGCACCAGGTATCCACTCAAGGCTGGATCATCCAAGGAGCCGAGTTCATGTTTGAAAAAAAAATCCGTCAACCCATGACCTTCAGATAACAGATGGACCATAGTCGCTACCGAAAATACATATGTAAACTGATAATATGTATGATAATCTGTATTGGAACCTTGGCTTTGTTCTCTGTTAGTATACGAGTTAGTTATTGGAGCAGATTTCCAGGTGGTTTCTAGCACACGATTGGCGTCTTCTTTTCTTCCCCTTGAGGTTCACTGCTGCAGATATTACCGCCTTCACTCATCTTCTGCTTAGCCTTCTCTTTCTTGTTGGTGGGTGACACGACCAAATGTTTTTTAGGTCTGTCTAGACATTATCTCTTCGCCGTATTCTTGACAGACGTCGTGGTCTAGAAGCATTCAACTGCCTTGTGTACACAGTTTTTTTTATCTCTCTGTCATCTGGCATTACCTCATCATAGATCAACCATTTCAGTTTTTGAGCCCTCATGATGCCAGTGATAAGTGGGGATGTAAACGGATTATGAATGTATTTTGTTGTTGTTTCTCCCTCTCTATTTCCCTCTGTTTGCATTGGTAATGGGTCCACAGATTCGTCTTAAGACTGTTTTGAAAAATGTGTAAGAAGACTTCACCTCTTTTAGTTGGGCTCCAAGTTTCAGAACCATATAAATTAATTGTTCTTATCAACATTTCATATATTTTGATCTTTGGTGTTACGACACATAGACTTCGATTTGAGCAGATTTGTACGACAGATCATACTTTATTTCCAGACCGAATTGGGGATTATATTTGTTCTCCTTGTATGCTATTCTTGGGTGCAAACTCTTGGCTATCCTAATGTTCATTTATGTATGTGTATGTCATCGTACTTGGGCTATATTCATCCCGATATAGGCCAAAGTGAACTCATTCATTCTTATTCTATTCATCCTTACCACCCGTCCATACATTTATTCATTCATCTAATTGTATGCAATCCTGTTTGACACACTCGGTATCTCTTTCTCTTTCTCTGTCTTGCTCTCTCTCTCTCTCTCTTTTTTTCACTCATGCTCTCCTACTGTATCTTTCTTGTTTTCTCTCTTCCCCCTCTCCATGTACACAGACACACATGCATTTATGTCTATACAAATATATATCCGTTTCTTCCTTAGAACAATTTAATCAGTACAGTCCCAAGCGGTAGCCTACCACCAAATCTGACAGCAATCTCCCTTGAAAGCAACCCTGTAACAACCATTGATGTCGAGGCTTTTGACGGTTCGGTCGACACCCTGGGATCTCTTTCTTTCAACGGAGCAAACTTCAGCAAGATCCCAGATGCATTTCACCATCTACGCACACTCAAATACCTAAGTATTGTAAACAGCCGAGTTGACGACTGGAATCCAAACGCTATGGCTAACATTGGAGCAACAGTACAGACACTGACTTTGGAAAATGATGGCCTGACCAACTGGCCATTGTGGGTTCAGTATTTTACCCAGTTGACCCAGTTAAGCATAACTGGAAGTTTAATTTCTGCTATTCCTGATGATGGATTAGATAAATTAGCCAGCAAGTTGGAGAGACTGATGCTCAATAATAACAAGCTAACAGAAGTGCCAAAGACACTTTCCAACATGTCCGCTTTACGATTGTTAACACTGGATTATAACCAAATAGTTAACATCACATGGCTACCTAAATTCAGCATGATAACATTTCTATCGCTGAGCTCAAACAACATAGCCGATGGTAACATGGTGAGCAATGCTCTCAAGCCGTATGCAGGATCATTGACGGATGTGCATTTTAATGATAACAAATTAACTTACATACCCGATTTTGGTTTGTTGACAGGCGTTACTGAGTTTAATTTAACGAGTAATGAAATCGTCGATCCCTTTTCTGGGACTCTGCCTCCAAACGTGATATATGTATACTTCGGGCACAACCAATTCTCACTCATCCCTCGTCTGTTTCTGAATGCCAAGTCTGTATCGGATTTATTCATGCCATCCAACAAAGTAACGATGCTTGATGCCATGTACATCCCTTCGTGGACATCAGCAATAGAGATGGGTTTCAACCTCATATCGGAGTTAACAGACACGAGTTTCCCAGCAGGTTCAAAATTACAGTTTCTGCGTTTAAATAATAATCCGATTGTAAAGATATCCAATCAGGCATTTGCTAATCTTCAGCATCTGGCAGAACTGGGTCTACAGCAAACGAGACTGACCCGGCTTCCTTTGGCCCTTGGATCACTGACCGGTATTGTTACGGTTGATGTGTCAGGGTCAACAAGTCTTGTGTGTACTTGCTTGGAGAGCAGTCTGCGGTCTTGGATTCTTACGCAGGATTCAGAAAACTTCATTGGCAACTGTGGTCAAATGTCTGTTTATGAATTTTTTCACAATCTTAGTCTGGGATGTCCTGTTTAAAGGGGTATTCTATACCATCAACACCATCAACACTGATTAGTGTCGCTGCAATGCAACAAGTTGTAGTGGTTTTGATAAAGACAATATTTGGACAATCAATCTAGCAGTAAACAAACCATCTCACCGCAATATTCTTGGCGCCACGGACGCCGATACATTTACTAGACAGTTTGGTTTTCTATAGCGATATGATCTAAACACAATTTTAACGCTGTTTTTTTTTTTTTTTTTTTTAGAATTCTAAATTTGCAGATGCAAGTTCCCCATTTTCTGACTTGTCCAAAGGTTCCGTCTCCCAGCTACTGTTAGATGTTTGGTGAGACACTATGAGTTGTTGATTTAATGTTGAATGTTCGTTTCTGTTGTGCCCGTGGCGTGTTGTTGACGGCGCCTAATGGCCGGCGGCCGATTCCAATCAGAATATCGTTTTGACAGATGACACAGTGCTCCTTCGAACAGTGTAAAGGGAATAGAAAATTTAATCATGTATGTCTAAAAGCACACTGAGGATCAAAACATATTCTTGAATTTGGAGAAAACTAAAATAACGTTCACAGTCAAAACTGACTGTCACACACACACACACACACACACACACACACACACACACACACACACACACACACACACACACACACAATTATGAAGAATTAAAATGTCACAAACTTTGAATATCTAGGTTCTATAACATAGCAATGCAGACTGTTTGACAGAAACCCAAAAGGGGATGGCCATAGCAAGATTAAACAGAGTTAAAAGTCTATGATTGAATACCACCAAGGACATGCATCTTCCCTGTAGCAACATACGGATGTGAGTCGTGGACTATCTTCCCTGTAGCAACATACGGATGTGAGTCGTGGACTATCTTCCCTGTAGCAACATACGGATGTGAGTAGTGGACCATCTTCCCTGAAGCAACATACGGATGTGAGTCCTGGACTATCTTTCTTGTAGCAACATACAGATGTGAGTCCTGGACTATCTTCCTTGTAGCAACATACAGATGTGAGTCCTGGACTATCTTCCCTGTAGCAACATACAGATGTTAGTCATGAACTATCTCCCTGTAGCAACATACGGATGTGAGTTGTGGAGTATCTCTCCCTGTAGCAACATACGGATGTGAGTCCTGGACTATCTTCCCTGTAGCAACATACGGATGTGAGTCCTCGACTTTTTTCCCCTGTAGCAACATACTGATGTGAGTCGTGGACTATCTTCCCTGTAGCAACATACGGATGTGAGTCCTGGACTATCTTCCCTGTAGCAACAAACGGATGTGAGTCGTGGACTATCTTCCCTGTAGAAACATACGGATGTGAGTCGTGGACTATCTTCCCTGTAACAACATACGGATGTGAGTCGTGGACTATCTTCCCTGTAACAACATACGGATGTGAGTCCTGGACTATCTTCCTTGTAGCAACATACGGATGTGAGTCCTGGACTATCTTCCCCGTAGCAACATACAGATGTTAGTCATGAACTATCTCCCTGTAGCAACATACGGATGTGAGTTGTGGAGTATCTCTCCCTGTAGCAACATACGGATGTGAGACCTAGACTATCTTCCCTGTAGCAACATACGGATGTGAGTCCTGGACTTTTTTCCCCTGTAGCAACATACTGATGTGAGTCGTGGACTATCTTCCCTGTAGCAACATACAAATGTGAGTCGTGAACTATCTTACTCTAGCAACATACGGATGTGAGTCGTGGAGTATCTCTCCTTGTAGCAACATACGGATTTGAGTCCTAGACTATCCTCCTTGTAGCAACATACGGATGTGAGTCGTGGACTATCTTCCCTGAAGCAACATGCGGATGTGAGTCGTGGACTATCTTCCCTGTAGCAACATGCGGATGTGAGTCGTGGACTATCTTCCCTGTAGCAACATACGGATGTGAGTCGTGGACTATCTTCCCTGTAGCAACATACGGATGTGAGTCGTGGACTATCTTCCCTGTAGCAACATACGGATGTGAGTCGTGAACTATCTTCCCTATAGCAACATACGGATGTGAGTCGTGGACTATCTTCCCTATAGCAACATACGGATGTGAGTCGTGGACTATCTTCCCTGTAACAACATACGGATGTGAGTCGTGGACTATCTTCCCTGTAGCAACATACGGATGTGAGTCGTGGACTATCTTCCCTGTAGCAATATACGGATGTGAGTCGTGGACTATCTCCCTGTAGCAACATACAGATGTGAGTCGTTGACTATCTTCCCTGTAGCAACGTACAGTTGTGAGTCGTGGACTATCTTTCCTCTAGCAACGTACAGATGTGAGTCGTGGACTATCTTCCCTTTAGCAACATTCGGATGTTGTGACGAGCTGGTCTGGACAGCTGTTTCTGTCCTTTTAAAAAGTGCTTTGTTTAGATAATATTATTACCAAAGTTCTAAACATTTTCCTATTGCTTTTAATTAGCATAATAACACTGGATTAATTAAGAAATTTCCTTAACTTTTTCTTAATGCTTTACTGTAGCAAAATTATAATTAAAGAGTTGAAAGGTAATAAAGGCGGAGAGTAGTGCAAGGGGTGCAAGGGGTAACAAAGAGTAACTTCCCCCTTGGTAGGACTTCCCATCTTCCATTCTTTCTTTCCAGGCTCAATTGGGGGAGTCAAGATTTTGTTCTCCCCAAATTGACACAGTTCAGTTAGTTCTGTTGTCTTGTTGCCTGAGTTTGAATTCCCTGCCAGGGGTGAGTTAAAAGAATAAGTTTAATTTGATGTATTGCTGCTTATTCCTCTGAATTAATTTTACAGGCTGAATTCTGGAATTTAATGCCCACATGGCTCAACAACTATGATAAATTTCTTTATCCTCACTAACCACGTTTTATGATCTAGTCTGTACATGTA